TCTGTCTTATATTCATTCGACAGAATAAAAAGATGATGAGTGCAATGGATTCCTATAAAGTAAAAGTATTGTTTATATTGTTTTTTTAGATTCGAATGATAAAGTATGTGATTTTAAATTCGATATTATTCAATCAAGCGAAAACATTATTCATATCCGTTTGTTTGGTTTTTGCAATATAATAATTAATGGTGAGTCTAGTATAAGTTAAGTCATAAGGAACAATATTCATTTCTCTTGTTTTAGATTCATTTGATATGGTATAAAATGATGAGTTTGATTTAAATTTAAAAGTCAGAAATGATATTTATGTCTCTTTTTACCGATTCACATGGGCAAATGACTGTAGGTAAGTGCGATATTGATCAACTAGAAGAAGTCATCTTTCATATCTATTTTTAGCTTTTCTGCGATGCAATAAATTATGGTGAGTTCAATATAAGTTAAGTAATAAGAAACAATACTCATTTCTCTTATTTTAGAATAGTATCATAGAACAAAAAAATGGTGAGTTCCTTTTAAGTCTATAAACTTAAAGTATCATTTTTATATCTTGTTTTTTGAGATTCGCATGATAAAACGAATACAGGTAAGTTTGATATTAATTAATTAAGAGAAAAGAAAACATTATTCATATCTCTTTTTTAGGTTGTTGTGGTATAAAGATAATGGTGAGTTCAATATAAACTTACTAACAAGAGAAAGCAGTGATTTCTGTTGGTTTAGATTCATGTGAGAAAGTAAGAAAAAAACTGATAAGTTAGATTTAAACTTAGTTGTTAGATTTTATATTTGTATCTCTTGTTTCAGCTTCAGATGATAAAAGAAATAATGGTGATTTTAGTTTCAAACAATTAATGAGTATCATTATTCATGACGTTTGTTTTTTAGTTTTTTACTACAGAATATATCATGGTGAGTTCGACATACATGAATTAATTGGAAACAATGTTGATATCTCTTGTTTTAGATTAGTGTGTCTGAATCAGAAAGGGTGGGTTTGATTGAGTTTCATAAATAAAATCATATATTTCTTGATTAGGTTTAATTAGTGGAGTACAGCTGTACAAGTTTGGTTTATTGGTATTAGTTGCAAAGAGATTTTATGTTGGTTGTCTTTGGTTCTTGTTTTCGAATAATTAATGGTGAGTTCAATTGCATACGAATGAGTGCTGATTTTCATTGTTATGTGTCGTTCTAGGTTGCATTGATATTAATCTTAATGTTGTGTTGAACTCAAAAATGTGAATAGAAATTCAAAATTATATGTACAATTCAAGTGGATTTTGGAAAACAAGTAATGGTGAGTTGTTTTTTGATTTTTCAATTCGTTATTATCCTTTTATTCTGCTCTCAAGTTCCGTAGATGGCACTGCATGTATTAATCTGAAAAACCTAAGTTCTATCCATTAAAGTTATCTTTTACCTCATCTGATATTTATTTTCTGCAATCAGTTGTACCCTGTTGGAATATTGAGGTTATAATAGACAAAATTCGTCTAATGATTCGTTTGACATCTCCTGTTACAGATGACGGTGAGTATTCATGTGAAAATCTCCCGTCCTTTTTGAGTGAGTTACACTTGCACTACCCGTATGAAGAAGTCGATGAATGTTCGTACTGTTGCCTGGTTACATAAGTCACATTCAGATGTTTGAAGCTTAGGCGGAATCGTAAGCAGAATCAGCCTGTAAGAAATCTTTTCTCTTTTGTTCTCATTCGATTCTTGTAAAATGCTATCGTTCCATAGTTTTTTTCCTGTATCCTACCGTCGGATATGTCTTTACAACATGAGTCATGACGGACCTCAGAGGTACACTTGATGCAACTGTTCTGAGCTACCATTTTTGAGTAGAATTTCATATGTCACACAGGATCTCCCTTCTATTTTTCGAATTGAGTTGTATTCTGCAAAATATTTGAAACGTCTATTTCGATTTCAAGCGTCACTCTTGAGCATTGTAACATTCAGTTAGTTTCGCTTCATTTCGTGATGTGCAGTATCCTATGTTTAATGAGCTTGAGACAGTTGAATTCATGCATGGTCGTACGCATAGATCTCTTCCGCCTTAAAACGTCTTAGAAAGTACTCTTGTTTACGTCTTAACAATGTAGAAAGACAGCTAATTGCGACTGATATTCACGGCTCCCAACTATGAGCTGAAGTCAATAAGGAACAGTAAATGTGAACCGGTTCTGAAGAGAAGAGGATTTAAACATTAAAGAGTCTCAGCTTAGTTTAAAAGGTATAATGCTAACGTCCATTTTTTCTGATCATGATCTATTCTCCATTGCGGTCCCGACTATGAGTGTAAAATAGGAACTAAAACTAAACCCTAGCTTTTTAGGAAATGAACCGTTTAAATGTTAGAGTTTTACAGCGTCGTGGAATAAGAATCACCTTGACGTTCAGTTTGTCTGGACGTGATACGTTGCAAATCGCGGCTCCCGATTGTGAGTCAGAAATGATAGAAAATTGTTAATGTGAAATGGTTTCAAGAAGCATGCCATTTAAGCGCTAAGTTTTTCCGATATAGTAAACAAGCTGATCGTTTTAACGTTCAGTTTCTCTAAACGTGATCGGTTGTCAATCGAGGTTCCCGACTGTCAGTCAAAAACGGCTAGAAGTCATAAATTTGAAATGGCTTCAAGAAATGAGCCATTTAAACGTTAAGCTTTTCCGAGATAGTGAAGAAAACGATCGTTTTAACGTTCATTTTTACTGACCATGACCGGTTGTCAATCGTGGTTCCCGACTGTCAGTCAAAAACGGCTAGAAGTCATAAATTTGAAATGGCTTCAAGAAATGAGCCATTTAAACGCTAAGCTTTTCCGAGATAGTGAAGAAAACGATCGTTTTAACGTTCATTTTTACTGACCATGACCGGTCGTCAATTGTGGTTCCCGACTGACAGTCAGAAACGGTTGGAAATTATTAATGTCAAATTGTTTCAAGAAACTTGCCGTTTAAACGTTAAGTTTTTTCGACATAGTGGAAAAAAGGATCGTTGTAACGTCCATTTTTACTGACCGTAATCGGTTGCCAATCGAGGTTCCCGATGGTGAGTCAAACACGGTACGGAATACTAAACGTGAAAATGATACTATATTAATGAAATGAAAATACTCAAATTTCATTAAGCATGTAAAAGAGACCGTTTTCACGTTCACTTATACTGGTCGTTAGTGACACACAATCGGGAACCTCGATTGACATCCGGACACGGTCGAAAATCTCTGCGCGTTTAAACGCGTTTTTTCATTTTTTTGTCTGCCTTGGTGAGCATGAAATAATAAAAACGATTTTGCAGCAGCAACAATGAGCAGTTGTTTGATCAAATGTACTTGGGTTCTTTGGAAGTTTTTATCATATGCAAGGTATTCTTGACATTAATTCCAGAAATTTATAATCTCATGATTTATAAATCCAGTTTTGAAATATGTTTCGCACCGAATTCACACTATGGACTTAGCTTTGTGAGATTTAGATAATGGTAAGAAAATATTTTCCAAAATGTTTTGTCTATCAAACAACATAGAAGCTCACGAAATCAATGTTATCATGTATGGTAAAACCTTTATAGCATTCTTGGTTTTGTATTTATCTTCATTCAACGAACAGGATAAAACATTGATCTTTTTCTTTTTCAACAAATACATCATTTAATGTTTTCCTCGGACCACTAGATCATATGTTTATGATTATTTTTACAAATTTCAAGACACTACAAATACTGAACGCCTGTGCCATCTTGTTATTTCCTACAAAGAAAAGTTTATTTTATAATCGACAAATAAGATCATTTTTAACCAGACCAATGTTAGATAAAGTGGAGTGTTCTCAGTACTCTAAAGAGCCAAAACGTTCATCATTCCACCTATACTTCATACAGGATCAATAGTGACACTTCCTCAATATATTTTCATCATCTTTAGTTGAAGAAAAACTCTTATTATATAATTTTGTTTCTTTGTTAAGCTTACTTCTTTTCTACTACTTCTTCAAACAGTTGAAGAAACTGAATCTAGCGATTTATAAATTAAGATTACTGTTTCTAGACAATATATTTGAGAGTAATACAGCAAAAAAATATTTTATTTCAGAGCGAAGCATTTAGACCAATTAATATAAACATTATTTGTCACTTGTATTTGACATTTGGGTGAATAATAATCCTCATTCTCCCAAGCCTACATTAGATCTCCGATTACTTTCAAAAATTATAGTCAAATAAATCAACAATATTTATCAAAGCCAAAAATCCAACGATTTTCGGCTCCTTCTAATTTTTCTATGTAACAAATAGCACTATGATGCATATCTTTGTTGTTAGTTGCCTATTGCAATTTCGAAAGTAGCTATAAAGATATGATCTTGTAATCCGAGTAGAACATTTAATAGCACATCTTCTGAAAAAAATATCAATGTTTCATTAGATCCTTAAACAGAGTAACATAGAAAACAAAAAAATGATGCAAAACTTTTGCAACATCCTGTAGTCAAATTGTAAATGCATCGTCATTGAGCTATAGCTTACTACACATATGGGATATTTAATTAGATATATTGAAATTGATGAAATCAGATAAGACAATGTATTCATAAGTTAATATGTCAAATAGTACTATTTATTGGGTGGTGTAGATGTGGGTGTTGTGGGTGTGGGGACGCGGATGCGAGTATGGGTGGTGTGGATTTGGATGAGTGCGGGTGTGGGTGGGCGTGGATGCCGGTGTCAGTGTTGGCGTTAATTTCACAACTACAGCCACTGTAGCAGCCACACCAACATCCACAACTACCCCACACCCCGTATGATTGAACTATTGCTGATGATTTGCAAGTAGAGTTTCGTAAAGTTCTCGATAATCGGCCATTTGAGGATCGTCATCCATAGAAGATTTGGTACGATAGTTTTGGCCTGTTCAAAATGTTCCAAAGCTTCGTTGCAGCGCTTCAAGCCATTCAACATGAAAGCAATATATACATGAGCTTCAGCGAGCGATCGTTGATTGGCAGTATAGCATTTCTTGGCAATCTGAAGTGATTTTTCCATGTACTCATAAGCATGTTCCCAATCTTTCAATACTGCATACGTCGAACCAATATTACTATAAGTTATCGACAGATCGGGATGTATTGGAGGTAGACAATCAGTCTGAATTTTTAGTGCTTTATGAAAATTTTCAAGCGCTTCAGTTATTCTGCCAAGATAGAGAAGGGAAAATCCAATGTTATTGAGACGTGTTGCAACAATAGGCGGATTAGGTGATGCTGTTGCTTCACGATCAAGAGCAAGAGCACGTTCGAAATGTTCAAGAGATTTATCGTATTGTCCCTGTTTTTGAAGCATTGCGCCTACTCCTGAATAAGCATAAGCCAAACGTCCTTTATCAATCGATTGCATAAGTAGATAATTTTCTACAGACATTTCATAATTATTCAAAGCTTCATCAAAATCACCTTGAGCGTCAAATATTTCACCCTTGTGAAAATAAATATCACCCAATGCTTTGGTCTTATTTTCGTTGTCTTCGACAATATCAAGGAGTGAATCACAAAGACACATTGCTTCATCCCAACACTCCATCATTTTAGAAATTTGAATAAATCGATACAAAGGCGTCATACCATCCAATTCTCGTTCCTTTTGTTCTCTAAGACGAACAAGTTGTTCATCATGATCGTTCGTCGAATTTAGTGTTACCATCCATCCATCACTGAGACTCGACATTGGTTCGACACTCATTATGCGAAAAATGCTACCTGCACACAAGAGTATTTCTTCTTCGTCCTGTATCCAACTAAAACGAGTGATATCAGCATAGAGACTATTGGTCACTCCAGTATCGAGCGTAATTTTAAAAAGAATTGATACTTTTTCTGGATCTTGTTCCATGAATAGTTGAGCTGGTTCTTGCTTCTGACTCGTAGACCAGAAAGTCGTAAGCGAAAAAAGACCACCTGTATTTTTCAATATAAGTTTATCAAAATCACTACGCATCATACCTTGACCTCGATAAACTTCTATGGTCGACGGTGCACGATTACTGGATTCCTGATAGAGTTTCTGCAATTCAACATGTAAATCACGAATAAAGAAACGTGCATGAAGCATTAGCATTAAATTAAATGATCGAAGGGCTGCATTTATCATGCCAAATAGAAAAATAGGTCGAGTGTACCATCGGATGGCATCTTTGGCTTGATAAGACCTTTCAAATTCATCCAACTGACGTAAAGCTGATTCATTATCAACTAAGTAGATTTGACGGCATGCACCAACAAAATCTTTAATTTCTAATGCATCCGGTTCATTCATAAGAAATGCTTTGAGAAGTAATTCAGAATATATGAATTCAGTTTCTTGGCGATTGCCGATGATTTCTGTCGTCGCTGGAGGTAGTGTAGCAAACCCAACATGTTCATTATTGAAATAGGCTGCTTGTATTCGAAGCTGTTTAGAAACAGATTTTAGATTTTCAAAAATGCCCCGAACTTTCGTGCCACTACTGGATTTACTAAAGTCAATGTCTGGTAATTTATTAGTCACAATATAGACATCATTAAGCTGAGAAAATTGATCAAGGTTTGGAAGAACAATGTTCATAATAATAGAATTCAGTGATGTGGAAGGCATAATAATGAGATAAACTTTGCCAAAGTCTTTTGTTTCAATGTAATGGTTAATACGATCGATACAGTCATCAGTAGCGATGCATACTAACAATTCCTGATTGATTCGACCAAGTTGATTTTCAACAGAATCGATTTTCTGCATTGTGTCATCACAACATACAATGACCAAATCACGAAACTGTCGATATGTGAAATTGGTGTTTAGACCAACACTCTTTTTTGTAGTTGAGACTTCATTACTTGCAGCCATGACGATGCATGTAACACGATGTGTTCTAACTCAGTGAAGACTCTTATCAGACGTGGTGATATCTTTCGAAATATAATATATATAAATAAATGAACGACTTAATATTGAAATATAAAACTTTTTATTTTAACAGCAGCGAAGATTTTTGTAATTGACAATGTCAGCAAAGGAAGACTATCAAAAATAACAGAATTCACTTTTGCAGTTTTCTGTAAAAGTGAATTCTGTCATTTTTGATAGTCTTCCTTTGCTGACATTGTCAATTACAAAAATCTTCGCTGCTGTTAAAATAAAAAGTTTTATATTTCAATATTAAGTCGTTCATTTACTTATATATAGTAGCTTGAAAGTCACTGCGACTACGTTAAGACATGAATAGGTTCTCCGAGGTTCTTTTTCTTTTCTACCACATTTCTCTATTCCTAACAAATTCTCGTCCTCAGAGAAATGCATTGATGGCTAGATTGAAATTTTTCATGATGACTTTTATATATCGCTCGATATTCGAAACTTTTCGAAGTCTTTCACTCTTCTCATGCATCCGTCTGTAGTCCTAAGGATATTAATGTAGATCTCAAACATTTCCAGTACGGCACGATACTCTTTGTGGGCACTTAGTCCAATGGATGAGTTGCTTGCAGCTTTTTGACTTCCTTGTGGTGTGTAATTTCGCGGTGTCTAACGCTGTTTGCTCTGACTTAGACACATTGATTGGTAGGCTAAATGTTCTGATCGACTGTCTTACGGATTCCTACTTGAGTTTAAATATGTTCATGTTATTCTTATGATTTTCTGTATCCCTTGACACTTTTTGCTAGCATTCTGATAAATGGCTGGATAATCGTGGTTCCTGTACCGTCGCCGTCATCAACGTTTGTGAGAGTACGATTTTTTTATCCGTGATTCTCAGCAATTCACATACTACTTGAAGTTTTCAGCTTTCATCCTGATAGATTTCTCTATTGTCCGAAGCTTTCCAACTGAAAGTTTTTCTACAGTTACTCTTACTCACACCCAAGATTCACCATTGTATTCGTGTCCTTCTTATGCGTAGTTTCATTAAATTCGTAGTTACATTACATTGATTTTGGTTTCTTATCTCTTTAATAACTGAAATTGATGAATAGAGCGGGATAACAAAAGAAGTAGACTATTTGCAGTGTCTTGGCGCTAACTATATAGCATTCAAAACAGTTTATTTTGCTTCTCGAATCTTTCTAATGATTGATTTACCACGATCAAGTAATTGAAGCCAAAAAGTTCTGGGTAAATTTGATAATACGTTGCTGTTGTTGATAGAGTTTTTTGAGTCTTATACTGTTTGCTTTTTGTCTTCAAGTATTTCGTATCTTATTTCTGCAGTGTTTCAAATATTGATCTTCCGTTGCTGACTGTATTTGCTCCATTCTTTTTCGTCTTTTTAAAATTCTTATCAAATAAGCACTCTATGAGAAAAACTGCGCATAGTAGCAATGAAACATTCACCCAAAGAGAAGACGACGAGTGATGGCAAAGAAGAAAAAAAAGTCATACTTATTCAATAAAATTCATTTCTGTATAATGTGAGGTAGTTGGAGACAGTCAAAATTAGACAATGACCAACAAGAAAACATTTCATTACATCTTTATTCTATCATTTGATTACTGATAGTTAACAGAGCACTACTGTTCTGAAAAAAAAAGTTGTTACATTGTATTTCATGTTAAAATAAATAAGATCTACATTATCAGGACCATGAGACAATTTCTCTTACAGATGATACAAAGATTGATAATTTTCAGTTCAATTCATTTTTCAATTTAAATATATATTGTAGAAGATTCGACTCTTCATCTTATTTTTTGTGTCAATAAAAAAAAAAGAGGAAGAAGAAAAGCATTTAGCTTGTTCATTTGAACTTGAACTTCAAAAATACTTACATTCTCAAAGGAATATTTTGAATAAAAATTGGTTTTCTTTTTTACGTAGTTCTGATGAGAAAAACCAGTTTTTCAAGATGTTCTAATATAAGCATAAAAATCGAAACAGTAGGTATAGGCTATTTCAAATTTTGGTAGATATATGTGAAATCTTATTCGATGCGTTTTATCGGTTACGAGAGAATCATAAAGATTTATGACGCACGTGGCAATGTAAACATATCTTGAAGTTTTCTTTTGATAATATCTCATGGTCAAAAGATGCTGATACAGATGAAATCGAACTTTAGTGAAATCTTCAATGTTTTTTTCATAAGTCACTTGGATATACACTGAAACATTGAAAATAAGTCAAAAAATATTTTATTAAACAGAAAATTGAACTTCATCAAGATGAGAGAGTGACTTTACATAAATATCCATGTCTTGAGCTCTGTTTAAGAACAAAACATCGATTAAAATTTATTGCTACTAGAAAAATCGGTATATGACATCAGCAGGTTGTTCTCTATAATCTTTTTTTGTGAAACTGTTTGTGATATCTCAGGCAGTTAAATAGAGATTCAATAAAATCGAAGTTTTTTATTGTCTTATGACTACAGACTATGTCAATACTTACTATCTATATCTTGATAAGAATCTATATTAAAAGCACAAATATAAAATATTTCCCCTTAGTATTGGAAAAATGAAAAATTAAATGTGACTGTAAAAAAATGAATATTTTTTTTATATCTGTTTATTTTTGTTTTTCTTTTCAATATAGGTGTGGGTGTGGGTATGGGGTGTGAGTATGGATGGACCATTTACATTAACCTAAAATTAAGTTTAAAGTTATCACCTAACACTGAATATTAAAATTAATTGAATCACTTAACACTTAGTTTTAAAATTAAGTTTTTTAAAAATCACTTAATCACTTAATTTTAAAATTAAGTGAGTCACTTAACACTTAATATTAAAATTAAGTGATCCACTTAACACTTAATTTTAAAATTAAGTGAATCACTTAACACTTAATATTAAAATTAAGTGATTCACTTAACCACTTAATTCATTAATAGTAAATGATTCAGTGATTGAAATGAAGAAGATATTATTTTCTTTTGATATTTTTATCAAATAAACGTTAATTTAAAATATACTAGGGCTTATCCCTATAATTTTTCAAGGGTTATCTAAAGATGATCATCATAACTCTTTAAGACCTTCTCTCCTCAAAAAACGTCAACATTCGTCAGAAACACGACATTGATATGAGTGTATGAGAAAATAGTCCAAAGTCTGCTCTTTCGAAAATGATATAGATTTTCATTTGGTATATAGTTTCTACTAAAAACTTTTAAGGAGCTTCATCACTCTCTACCAGAAAAATAAGCAGTTTTTTACAAAAATCTGAGAATCTTTTTCGAGTTTTTCGTTTATCCTTTTCTCATCTAGCATTCCAAAATTCCTAAAAGAGCTTCATTGTAGCCAATAACTTTTTTTTTGTTTGAAAAAGTGTATCAAGATGCAGGGCACCAAAGAGCCTTTTTTTTCTAAATTAAGCTTTACTTTTACTACATATATAAACACAAACAACGCTCGTCCGTGTGACTTGCTTGACCCTCCACTGAATATTCGGCTCTTTCGATATTATATACTGCTTTACGACCCTCAACGAAGCTAGTATCCAACATTCGAAAAAGGGTGAGTGAATGTGTGGACGTTGGTATTAGAGTCAATCTTATTGTGCACAATGATTTGGGTATCCATGTGATGATTTTTGTCATAAATTTATTTAATCAAACTGATTTCCACATCTTGATACCCAAAGGAAATCGAAATGAATTACACTGCGGCAGCAGTATCCACGCACCCGAAATAGAGATTATATTCAATTTACGAAGAGGATCACGAAACAAAACACATACGCAAGACTGGTGTGAAAACGCGCCGTACTTCTTGAAAACTCAGCTAAAGGTCCGTGTGGTTACCAGCACATCAACTGGCAATGTCATTTGCTGCAGCATTTGCTACTAAAATATAAGTTTAACAAACTTATAGCTTAAAATAAGTCATATTAGATCTGACCTGCAGTCGGAATGCGCCGCTTGAGTGACGCTCCTACTCAAAGTAGCTCTTAAATCAGACAGGTAATTGTAGACCCAGGTCTAGACGTAGGGACCGGTTCTGACACGAAAACATCGAAAACCGCTGGAAGGTGGAAGCAGTATTCCGATCGGAAAATTTTCAGATTCTTTCTGGTGAGTTCAGGTCAACTTCCTGTGCTTTCCGGGAGAAGACGGCCGTAAATCACTTAAAAACACTCCGAAAATTTTCCGACTAGAATACCGCTTCCACCTTCCAGTGGTTTCTGGTGTTTTTCTGCCGAATACGATGTTTTTTCCCGCATCTTTCCTGCGGGTTCCAGCGAAATCCTCGATCTGGAGATACTCGAATACATTCAGACACGTAAATGAACACAGACAAGGGCACACAGCAACAAAAAAGCTCCTTTTATCTCATTCAAATTTGTTTTCAATGAAGTGAATATAAATTCTTCGAGTCATATTGTCCGTCAAATGTACCATTCAGATAGTGTGCACGTGCAGAAAAACTGTTCTCACACTTTCTTTCAAAATATTTCTCAGTTCTTTACCACTTCTAGTCCCTATTGAAACCCGTTAGATCCAGGCCGTTGACATTTATCAGTCGAATCCTAACAGCCTGAAGCGTCTCTACAGGGAGTTTTCCAACATAGTGACTAGTCGCTGCCATGTTTAATTCTATTTCCCCATAAGATCATTCTCTTTGATCTACACGCTACTTGATCCCAGACTGCATTTGAA